CATATAAAATTCCGTGTTGATCAAAAAATTTTTATTAGTGAGTGACACTTGACCCCCTGTAGATCCGCAATGTCCTGTGACTGATACCGTAAAATCTGGAAAGATAGCACCCCCTTTTTACAATATGATCGATATTCAATTTGAGCATAAGATTATCCAAAAAAGGTAACGAATTTATTACACGAAATATTAAAAATATATATTGATATTTTATAATGAATAAAAAAAAATTTATTAAAAACGTTCAAATTATTCTAAATCATCACTATAATAAATATGATAAGACATATTATTTTCAGTATTTTCTTTATCTTCCACAAATACTTCATCAAGTAATTCATAAACATTATTATCTTCTAATTCATCAATAGGATTTGTTATCTTACATTTTTTAAATGAATTTAATATAAGTTCAGAAGAAATACTGTCCCAAGCATTTTTAACCCATTTGCAAACATCACTGATACTTGCATGACGTAAATAACCACCTGCAGTAACACCATTGCCTCCATTACGCATCCATTCATCCCATTATTTTTTTAAATGTTCTTTGAATGGTTTATTGATCAAAACATCAAGTGGCTGGCATATACTTGTACACCCACCTGGAATAACAGCTAAATTAAAATAGTTTGCCTCAAATTTTTGTTTAACAGTTTCTTATAGGTGTCCAGAAAAAGAATCATAAACCATTAATGCAGGTTCCTTATCAATTCTTTTATTAACTCTGTCTTCAATTAACATATCTATATATTTTTCCATGAGTTCAGAATTCATCCAACCTTTCTCTTGAAACCAAACTACAACCCCATCAGGAATTGTTTGACCTTGTGGTAATTTTTTTCCTTTAAAAATACATATTGGCTTCAATTTTGATCCATCTATTGATAAATTTATTATATATGTGAATTTATTTTTTTTACAATTTTAAATACAAATTAAAATTTTAATCTAATACTGATTAAATACATAAATATACCAAAAATTAAATTGATTTTACTATAAAATTATTTATATAAATAATAATTACTAAATTATCTCCTGCACAGGTTAAAACCACAGTAAATCTATTTTTTTCATTACCAGTACACTTAATATGTACTGTTTTTTCACCTTTTTGGCTGATAGTTAATCCTCTTGACATATCAAAATATACTGAAGTTTCATCCATATTATACAGTGTGTAACAAAACTTTTTGGAATTTTTTATTTGTCCATAGCTCAAAAGTTACCACATAAAAATGAATGAAAAATATGTCAAAATATAGCTTAAAATCTGAAGTTTTTATTGATATAAAGTTAATAGTTTATTCTCTCGCCATTGTTCTCAATTATCATCTCACATCTCCTTCTCATTGAGCTGACAAGGTTGATTAGAATATTATTTGGGATTTTATCCTATTCTTCTGTCATGTACTGTTCTAATTCTGAAAGATTTTGAGGCATACGCATTTCTACATTTCTTTTGACAATAGCCCAAAGGTTTTCGATTGGATTTAAGTCTGGACTATTGGAAGGCCAGTCCATAACTTTGGGAAAATTTTCATTGAGGAATGTCTGACAAACCCTGCTTGTGTGCTTTGGATCATTATCATGTTGGAAGCATCAATTGCTTCCAAGCAATCTATTAATTTCCTGTTTATGCCTTTGCAAAATATCAACATAAAAATTTGCCTTCATGATTCCCCTGAAGCAAAAAAGAGAGCTTTTTCCTTGCATACAAAAACCTCCCCATGCAAAGATTTTAGTGCAATCTTTGGGGATTCTTTGTACTGGCCTTTCGCCTCTGTACCATTGAGTTATTGTGTTTCTGAACAACTGAAAGGCAGTTTCGTCAGAAAATAAAGTGGTCTCCCAGTTGTCATCAAGATGTCTTGTTGCCCAACCAACACAAGCTTCTTTATGGGCAACAGTAAGCATAGGTGTCTTTAAAGCCAAATTATTTTTGTAGCCTAAACTTGCCAAATGTCTTGAAATAGTCATATGAGACACTTTGGTGATATTGTTTGATAATTTGTTTGACAAAGTCCTTGTGGAAAGTCTTGGATCATGGCGCAAGTATTGGCTGATCGCTCTTGATTCGTGCGCAGTAATTTTTTTGGGACGACCACCTCCAGATTTTCTCAAATTAACACCTTCTTCATTCAATTTTTTAAGATTATAATAGACAGTAGACATTGTAATGTCAGTTCTGGAATGTATTTCTTTTGCAGAAGTTATTCCATTCTGCCACAATTGTAATATACTTTTTCTTTGAGTATCTTTATCAGAAGATGACATTACGTTAACAATTTTACAACAAAATCAATTCAAAACAAATGATCTAATCATGTATTAATTTAGTTTAGTACATATTGTTCATGTGTTCAAAATATGACACGAATAGTTTTTATTTTCAGAATGTTATTAACGTTTGAAACGCATGAAAAATTTTCCAAAAAGTTTTGTTACACCCTGTATATATTGTAAAGTTCATAATTAAATTCTAACCTTTTTTTAATTATATATTTATTAAATGAATTTAGTTGATGATGGAGTTGCTCAGGTAACTTTTGAGATATTTAGTTTGTCTTCATAAAGAAAGGTTTTTATGTCTTAAAAATCCAAGTAACCAGCTTTTGGAATATTTAAAGGAACCACTAGCTTCTGGGTATATAAATTTGAAATGTGGCTCATTTAAAATTTTTTGCATTTGATTTGAAATATTATAATAAGTAACAGCAAATGCTTGCTTTCTTTGTTCAATAATCCATTTGTAGAGTTTTTCTTCTGCTTCTGGAAAAAAGGCTCTTCTTCCTGAACCTAATGCCTTAGTTTTATTTTTTACAGATTTATCCCATTTTTCACAAGCTTTAATCCACCTACCAATCATTGTTGGCTCTAAGTTGAACTGACGACTAGCCTCATTTCTTCCATGAATTTTTGCAAACTCAACTATTGTCTTTTTTTGAAATATAGTATATGATGATTTAATGTGACAAGGTATATAATTTTCCATTGGGAAAATTTTATTTTTTCCCTTAATATTTTTTTTTGTTTATCTTGTGAAACATATAATTATCACCTTTTTTAGTTCTATTTTTGGAAGGTGCTATCTTTCGGGGGGCGATATCTTTCCAGACTTTACGGTAATAAATTTACTAATGTCCAAAATGGCAACTTCGTGACACAGCTTTTTTTATTTTATATACAGTATATATAATAAAATTCTAATTTTTTTTTATTTTCAACATCATTAACAAACTAAAATACAAATCCACCTTTAATTAAATTTGTTATTTATTTTATTGTTACTATTTATTATTCTCGAAAAATGTCAACCTCACATACATCAGCAAACACCAACCAACAAAGCATATGTGTAACATTTTTTTTATATTGATGTTCAATTGTTTTAAAGTAGGGGCGGTATTCCATTTACACTGCTAAACCTATAAGATACTTTTTATAATTATTATTAGATCAGACAATAGATAGTAAAAAAAATGTTTCATCAACATTTGATCCAATATGCAAGTATAATTTTATTTTTTATATTTTAATCAATGATTGAAAAGATAAACTTCCTTATCTACTGAATTTTTAGCTGGTAATGAACCACTTGAATCGGTATTTGAACTTCCCAAGGGTTGGGCACTGAAAAGCAACCAAAAATATGGACAAAAAGGTGGTGGTAATTGTATGCCTGTGCAAATTACAAGTTTGTTGGAAGGTTTCTTTTTAGCTCGAGAAGCTGATAGAACAAGAAGACAAATTGACAATCAACACCAGAGATTCTGAAATACAGTGTGTAACAAAAAAAACCGGAAATCTTTTATTTATTTGTTTTCAATAATGGTTGAATGAAAATAGATAAAAATACATCGAAAAGAAAGCTGAAAATCAGAAGTTTTTATTAATATAAATTTTATATGAAACTTATTTTAATTGCTTTTAATATCAGGAAATGAAGTCAATTTTATTTCATTTAAAAATTCAATTATAAAAATCAGCAAATTCATTTCTCATTAATTTGCCAAAAGTCATTCCAATTCATTGGAGTTTTTAGCATTCATTACTCTATGTCTTGCTTAACAAACTTACCAAAAAATTTGGCATTTCAATATATGAACATTGTTGAATAACCATCACATAACTAATAGCACATTTTTAAATCAAAGTCTTCATGAATAAATTTTGAGCTTAAAATAATTGACTTTCAAAAATCCGATTTAAATCAAATTAGCATATCAATCTTTGTGATAGGTTCAGGAATGGTCTCTATATAGGATATAGTGGCAATTGGCTGCTAGAAAGAACAAAAAACATCCTTTTTCTAAATTGCACCAAAAAATTTCTGGTTTTTTTTGTTACACACTGTACATATAAAAATAGTTGAATTTGCATAATTTTTCAACTTCATAACTATAACATTCAAATAAGTACAATAAAATTTGTTAAATCAAACAAACCACATTAATAAATAAAACATAGTAAATCAATTAAACATCACAAATTAATCACACTGCTGAAACTATGTTGGAAGGGTTGAACGTTATGGTGGAAGAAGAAGGCCAGTTTGATAAAAGCAAAGTTCCAAAACTCCAAACTATAAAATGCAAAAAGAACCTTGAAAGAAGTTGGTATTCCCATTGAAATGAGTAGAAAACATAGTAATTCTAACACTATTATAGGGGAAAATTGATCGATATACTTAATTTCATATATAAAATATAAAGCAGAAACCTTCAAATGGTGATTTCGTACATAACTTTCTTTTTTTCTAATATATAATAAAGATTTTTTTTTGATTTTCATGTTTTTTCACATTTATCCTATTGTTTTGCATAAAATTTGGTGCAATATAAATTTTGTATGTTGTATAACTATTTCACAAACACAGTCGATTATTTTCTTCAATTAGTAAATGTGTCCCAAATTTTTATATGTAAATCCCCTGCTTTGTACACATTTCACCAATTAATATATACTAATGAATTATTTTTGTTTTTTGGATTTTGTGTAATGTCACAATGACATTTAACATGATCAACATTTTTATTTTTTTATATTTATCATATGTATTTTTAATACAGATTATCTAACCTCTTATAAATAATAATTTAGTCAACAATATTGTCAGAGTTGCCTTGTTTGAAAAAGAACATTGAATGTGAATTTCCATATAATATATACTTATTTTTACTTATTTTTCTTATAGAGGTATGTTTTAAGTATGTTTTGACATGTATTTTAAGTCAAAGCCAAATTAATTTTGACAACATGTAATTGTAAAAATTTTCTAAGGTTACATGATTAACAATGCATAAAATCATGTGAAAGTCATGGGATGCATTTAGGGAGGTGGTTTTATATAGTTGGGAATGAAAAAAGACCATGCAGTGCAGGTATAGAGGGGTGCCCTTATCTCTTAAGTCCCAAGCTTGGGAATGAGTGAAAGTGTGTATTTAGAGAGGGTGTGCATTTATGGGGGTGCATTTAGGGGGGTTGACTGTAGTTCAAAATAAAATAAATAATTAATAAACAAGTAATTCAAATGAAATGAATAATTCGAATAAACAAATAAACAAAATTCTAGCAAAATGAATACAGTCAGACCTCCATAAGTGCTCCCCCCTTGGGACCGTGCATTTATGGAGGGTGTGCATTTATAGAGAGAAGCAATTTCATTGGTTGCATGTGTTACATGATTTTTTTTAAAAAAAATATATATATTAATATATTTATTATTTATTATATTTAAAAATTTAATTAATATTAAAATAACTATCCATTGTAGTTTGTTTCGATGAATTTACTCTTTTTACATTGATATATCTTTCGATTTTATTAACCAATTTTATTTGTTCACTAGCATTTTCTTGCTGTAATAAAAATGCATGTACAGTTTCAAGGCTTTTTAATGCTTCCTCATGGCTTATTGTTGGTTGTTCATTGCTATCATCATCTTCATCAAAATCATCATCAGGTAT